CCATCCCACCTGGACCATCCTCAGCAGAGGCCCACCCCACACAGGACATGGAAGTATCGTCCAGTCCAGACAGCACAGGCGAGGCTGTGTATGAAGACGCTGGTTCGTCTGTGACCTGTCTGCTTTAAGACACTTTCATCCCTATGCCTGGAATCGCCTGGTCCATTTCTCCTGGGGATTCACCATCCAGAAATCTACAGGGCATCAGAAAAATATCTCCACTCTTCTCTCCTGCCTCCCCTGACCCTCCCCACATCTCCCTCCCTCCCCCCAACCCTCCACCCGAGGCACAGAGGCACAGAGGAAAGCTTGGATCCTGTTTTTTTTTTTTAAAATTTGGTTTTGTTTTCTACCTATAAACACATATAACTCCTGCTGTTTAGGACAATGGGGCAGTTTAAGAATCTGCTCAAATCCTGAGACTCCAGTATACACACAGTCACAGACCCCAGTTTACAGTCCCTGCAAGTGAGTGGACCCTGAAGGCCACCTGGAGTCTCCTCCACTAGTGGGGTAAATTTCTCTAAAACCAGCTTTCTCTCCCCACTCCCTTTCCTCTCTCTTCCCCTTCCCCCCACCTTTTTAAAATTTTGAGCCTTTTTAAAAAAAATTTTTGCGACAGAGCCGTATGTAGCCAGGCTACATAAAATTTGATATGTAACTGAGGCTAGTCTTGAATTGCTAATCCCCCTGTCTCACTCAGCTTTCATAGTGCTGGGATCATGGGCCTGGCTCCCTTCTTCTTGCTTCTCCTTCCAAGAATCTGGAAACATCCAGTTACCCACAAGGAAGGAAGAAAAGACAACTATAAAAACAATTTTCTTTGCTAGGCATGGTGGCCTGTAATCCCAGCACTCAGGAGGCTGAGGCAGGAGGATCAAGAGTTTGAGGTCATCTTTGGTTATATACAGAGTTTAAGGCTAGCCTGGGCTACTTGAAACTTTCCCACCAAACAACAAACACCAAAAGGACGTCAACAATAAAAGGAGAAATGACTTACTTTTCACTGGAAGGCAGATTGGAAGCAGAATCAAGTGTCCATGTGGGAAAGAATGGGTCAGAGAGTAAAATGAATATTAGTTCCTTCTGTCCCTGGTGCCTTCCGCTTTCTTTCATAAACTACTTTTTAAAGTGTGACAGTTGTTCTTGTGTTCTGTTGAACTAACTTAGAGAGGAAACCAGGTGTGCAAGACCCCGGAACTGATAAAGCCAACAGTCTCCTACCGTCTCAGCCTTGCCTTATCTGTGAGCATTAGCAAACTCTAACTTGAACTATTTCCCTTGCACACTTGCACAGGCTGAATGCCCCTAATCCAAAATGGCTCCCTTACAAGATTTTTGAGTGCCAAGGTGATACTTTAATAGTTTCACCTTGACTTGTTTTCATTGCTTTGTTGCTTGTTTGTTTTTAGTTTAGTTTACTTTTCTTATGTGTATATGCCTGTGTAAGCATGTGTGTATGCCCCTCACAAGCCACACAGAGCCATAGGCAATTATAAACTGACTTAAGTGGGTGGCACCTAACTCAGGTCTAGGAAAGCAGAAAGCGTTTGTAACCACTGAGTCACCTCTCTGGCCTCCATTAGTTTTTAATTTTTGAGACAGGGTCCTTTCACTCCACAGACCAAGGCTATCCTTCAACTCTTTCTGGAGGTTCAAATCCAGCCAAGCTCCCACCACCACCACCTCTGTCTCTCAAGTGCCAGGATTAGCACCCCGAGTCAGCACGTCCAGGTTTGGATTTGGATGTTGTTCAGACCAGATTTGGGGGGGTCAAGGAAAGAGTCTGAACTGATAGAGTTGATGTAATGTTCACAATTCTGAAAATGTCTGAAATTTGAAACACTTCCAGCTTCAGGCATTTCAATTAAGGAAAATTCAAGCCGCACTAGACTAGAGAAAAGCAGAAAGGGGCTCAGCTGATCAGAAACATCCAATACACTCATGTTGTACAATCAGGGACTTTGCAATGGACTGAACCAAGTAAACTGATAGGATTGCTGTGACCTGATCATGATTCTGTCTGCATTATTGTCCCTTCATCCTCTGTCCTCCAGTGTACAGTCCCATCTGGACAGAGTTCCCCCTAATGGTTTTCTCTGGGTAACTTGCTAATTACTTGCTCTAACAAACTTTCTTGTTGTGGTACTGGGGATTCAGAATAGATCTTATACATGCCAGGAGAGCACTCTACTGCTGAGTTACACCCCATCCCCTCACTGGGGGATTCTAGGGAGAGGCTCTATCACTGAGCCACGCCCAAACCCCTCACTGGGGGATTCCAGGCAGCTGTTCTACCACAGAGCTATAGCCTCTTTTTACTTTTTATTTTGAGACAGTTGAGTTCACGGGTACCCTGGGCAGCTAAGTAAGAACTCATTTGAAAATAGAAAGTTAAAAGCCAGGCGATAGTGTCACATGCCTTTATTATGCCATCAATCCCAACACTAGGAAGGCAGAGGCAGGTGAATCTCTGTGAGTTCCAAGCCAGCCTGGTCTACAGAACTAGTTCCAGGACAGCCAAGGCTACACAGAGAAACTCTGTCTCAAAAAACAAGAATAAAAACACCCCTTCCCCCCAAAAAACATCCAGAAAATACAAAAAGAAAAAGAAAAGAAAGAAAGAAAATAGGAAGTTAAAAAGTATATCAGTACAGTCCTTGTTGGAATCTCCCAAGGAGGACCAGGGTTTTGATTCAGCGGTAGAGCCACTGGCTACCACACAGGTTCTGAGTTCAGTTCCTGGGTAAATGGGGCAGGGAGAGTTGGGAGTCATAAGATTTCACAGTACTTACTTTCTTCTTCTGACTTGTCTGGAGGGAAGAACGAATGCAGCCATGTTTGACAGGGGTGCAGAGAGAGGGAGAGAGGGAGAAAGTGGGGGTGGGAGAGAGCATGGGGCAGAGGGGGGGGAGGGAGAGAGATTGATTAATAGTTTTGCCATCAGATAAGCATCCCTGACCAGACAGAGACAAGAGATGAGAATGCTATCAGAAAGCACACAACCTAACTCTCTCTCAATTTACAGGATAGGACAGGGACTCGAGTCTACAACCATTCTTTCTAAAATAAATATTTCTGAAGCACTACTGTAGCCTGGGCATCAGCAAGGTTTGGGTAAGACAATATCTACCCCCAGTGAACAGTATCCATGGGTTTTCAGGAGCTTGCAAGGAAGGGGGACCAAACGCCTCGTGAAGTGGGACAGAGGTGGGAATAGTGTTCTGGTTGACCTGCTGGGCATGGCAGGAACTTTTAAAGGGATGCTGGTTGCTGACCTGGAGTGGTTACCAGGGGAGGCATCTTGGAGGAGGATATGATGTTTTGTCTGAAACCTGAAAGATGAGCAGGGATTAGCTGAGTGGAAAGACCTTGGAAAGGGAAAAGAAAAATTATCCCAGACATGGGGAAGAATATGGGTATAGTCCTACAGGAAATAACTCAGCTGTAAAAGGTCTGAGAGACAAGATTATGGCTAGAAGAGGCAAAGATGTGTGGGTACCATTCTAAGACCAAGGAAGACATTGCAGAAGAAACAGGACCTATGTCCAAATCTTGGTTCATTCACCTCTTAGCTGTGTGAGCCTCTTCTGACATTTCCTCATAAAAACAAAACCGGGAACGTTTGGAGAGATGGCTCAGCAGACAAGAGCATTGGCTGCTTTTGCCAGACTGAGGTTCTAATTCCCAGAACCCACGGGGTGGCTCACAGCATTCTGTAACTCCAGCTCCAGGGGATCTGGTGCCCTCGCCTGGCCCCTATGGGTACTGCATCTACATGGTTCACAGACATCCAAGCAGGCCAAACACCCATACACACAAAATAAAAATAAAAAAATTTAAAACAAAAGAAAAGGAAACCGTGAGCTCCAGGTTCACTGAAGAGAGCCTGTCTCAAGAAGAAATAATGTGGAGAGTGATTGAAAAAAATATCCAGCATTGACCTCTGGCCTCCATGGATGCACACACTGACATGCACATCTGCATACATGCACACACACACAACGGACTCAAATTCACGTGGTGCACATCTGCATACATGCACACACACACACAACGGACTCAAATTCACGTGGTGCACATCTGCACATATGCACACACACACAACGGAATCAAATTCACGTGGTGCACATCTGCATACATGCACACACACACAACGGACTCAAATTCACATGGTGTACATTTGTGACCTCATCACTCAGAAGCAGAGGCAGGTGGACTTGGAGTTCAAGACTAGCTTAGGCCTCTCTCTCTCTCTCTCTCTCTCTCTCTCTCTCTCTCTCTCTCATTTGGTTGTTGTTGTTGTTGTTTTTCCAGACAGGGTTTCTCTGTGTAGTCCTGGCTGTCCTGGAACTCGAGTAATAGACCAGAGTGGCCTAACTCAGAGATCTGCCTGCCTCTGGTTCCCAAGCGCTGGAACTAAAGGCGTGCGCCATCACATTTAGGGAGATCTTGCCCCCCACCCCCCACTTGGGCTCAAAAGAATCAAAGTAGAACAACCAACATTCATACAAAGGCTTCCAGAATGAGAAATGCCACTATTAAAACTGGAGCTGTCCTGGACAACACACACAATTGCACATACACACAAGAATATATAATAGCATGACACCATGGCTTCCTCACCAGGCTCCCCGACCCCCACACACTGTAAACTAAATAGACCCTTCCGTTCCTAAGGTCAGGGTAGTCTGTCATACCCATGAGAAAAGTAAGTGATGTAGCCTGGTACTCACTACATAGCCCAAGCTGGCCTCAAACTTAACAGCCTCCTGCTTCGGCCTCCTAAGCGTCGGAGTTACAGATGTGACATGCCAGGTTCAGCTCTCCTTCTACCTTGCAGGTCCTGAGGACTGAACTCAGGTCACCATGCTGAGCAGCAAGCGACTTTTGCCCAGTGAGCCATTTTGCTGCCTGGTTGCTGAACTTTTGTCAGTTGCTACTTTGTCCCTGATGATTCTGACCTTATCCACTCTCAACTCCAAGCTAATTGTGCAGACATTAAGGGACTACTGTTCTAGCATAGTGGTTATACCAGTGCTTCTCAACCTGGGAGTCGAAACCCATTTGAAACAGTAGCAAAATTACAGTTATGAAGTAGCAACAAAATCATTTTTGGTTGAGGGGGCGTCACCACAACATGAGGGTCAAAGTATTAGGAAAGTTGAGAACCTCTGGTTTATATTTACAACTGTATGTATATATATTATATTATTTAGCATTACAGCTAGTGCCCCAGAAGGTCAGGTGAAGGGCTTGGGAGGCTTGGTGGGTAAGGGCTCTGGCTGTGCAAGTGTGGGGATCCAAGCTCTGATCCTATATAAAAAGCTGGCTATGGCCACTGACACCTGTAGTCCCAATACTATGGAGATTTAGTGATAGAAGAAGCCCAGGCACTTGCTGACCAGAGCCAACCAAAAAACCAGTGAGCTCTAGGTTTAGTGAGAGACACTGTTCATGGAAATAAAACTGAAAGAAATAGAACCAGACAGCAACGTCCTCCCCTGGCCTTTGCATGCATACACAAGTGCACACACACGTGGGCACACGCACACATGTATACACACAATTGAAACAGCAATATGGGTCAGCATGTGAAGGTGCCTTCTAGCAAGCCTGAAGATCTTAGTTCTATTCCTAGGACCCACACAATGGAGAGAAGGAACCAGCTGCCACAAGGTATCATCTGACTTCCACATGCATGTCTTGGCACATGTGCTGTTCAGTAGAACTTTTTTTTTTTTTGAAACAGAGTTTCTCTGTATAGCCTAGCTGTCCTGGAACTCACTCTGTAGACCAGGCTGACCTCGAACACAGAGATCCTCCTGCCTCTGCCTCCCGAGTGCTGGGATTAAAGGGGTGCACTGCCACCCAGCATAATTTTTTTTTATTTTAAATTTAGAACCAAGTAAACAAAGCATAAGGCATTCTCTAGCTGCATCACTCCTTGTGAGCTGGAAATGGAGATTCACACTTACCATCCGGGGACAGTCTGCCCATTAACCCTGAGGGAGGAGACAAAACAAAACAAAACAAAACAAAACAAAACAAAACAAAATAAATGATGTCAACACACAACAATTGAAACAGAAAAAACAAATCCAGAGAGAATGGACTTTCCCAGCCAAGTGTGGGGAAAGTGGGGCCTTGATGCCTTAGCTATTGAGGCTGGTGGGAGGAGGGCCATAATAAGCCCAGATTGGTTGTTTTTTTTTTTAAATAGATTTTTGCCCCCAACTATATACAAGAAATCTCAATTTCTTTGTGGTTTTTTTGTTCACAGCAGTTTCCCTTTCTCTGACTTATATTCCCATTTTCCCTTGGGTGGACCTTTCTGGACTTATTACACTCAAAGAGCAAAGGAGGTCAGGATGTATGCTCCGACCCCAGCCAGTCAACCAATCAGGTATTTCTGTACTTGTGGACATAGACAGAGCCCCAGTCCCCGCTATAGAAGGAACACATAGGTAACTTCACACCAAGTGGGATACTCTAAACCCACATAAAAACCCAAACCTCCTTAGCTGGGGGGCTCCTCAGAGTCTCTCTGCTACTCAATAAATCTGTAACTTCTACCATTAAACCTCCACTGTGTGCCAAGCTGCTTTTCTGTCTTTCCATCCTTTAACTATTGAAGAAAAGGAATCCACCCACCAGGCAGTATCAACAGCACTTAGAGTAGGGGTTCTCAACCTGTGGGTCGCGACCCTTCAGGGATCAGATATCAGGTACTGTACATATCAGACATTTTATTGCAGTTCATAACAGTAGAAAATCACAGTTATGAAACTACTTTATGGTTTGGGGGGGTCACCAGAATATGAGGAACTGTGTTAAAGGGTTGCGGCATAGGAAGTTTGAGAACCACTGATACAGAGTTTCCTTCATAGTCCCAACCCTTTGACCTGGCTCAGTCGTATAAAGCATCATTTGCTTTCAGTGTGATCTGAACACCAAGTCAGTAGACAATTTCATCACTGTACAAACGTCAGAGAATGGATGTCCTCAAACTGAGATGGTTATGCTATCACTATGTGGTGTTAGGGCCTGTGGAGTATATGCAATTCAGCACTGAAGGAGAATGTGATACAGTCCAGGAGCCCACTAGATTCTGAATTAGTTCCATCTTTGGACTTCTATCATCATGCTAAAAGCTTACCAATGTTCTATGTGTATGTGTGCTCAGGTGTATACAGATGTATGTGTGTGCATACTGAGGCCAAAGGTCAACCTTCAATGTTGTTTGAGGAGCCTCTATCTTATAGTTCCTGCCTCCCAAGATTTATTTTCTTTTTTCTTTTTTTTAATTTATTTTATTGGATGTTTTATTTACATTTCATATGTTGTCCCCTTACCCCATCTCCCAACCACCCAGGAACCCCCAATCCCCTCACCCCTCCTCCTTCTTCTCTGTGGATGTAACCTCTATCTACCCCCCCAACTCCCACCTCCCCACCCTCAAAATTCCCACCCCCTGGGGCGTCCAGCCTTCATGAGGTCAAGGTTCTCTTCTTCCACCTAAGCCCAGCAGGGCCCTCCACTCTTATATATTCAGCTAAAGCCCTGGATCCCTCCCTAAGTGCTCCCAGGCTGGTGGTTTAGACCCTGGGAGCTGTGGTTGGTTGGTATTGTTGCTTTCCTCATGGTGCCACAAATCCTTTCAGCTCCTTCAGTCTTCACTCTAACTCCTCCATTGAGAACCCCATGATCAGTTCAATGGCTAGTTGTGAGCATCTGCCTCTGAATATGTCAGACTCTTGCAGACCTCTGAGGAGACATCCATATCAGGCTCTTATCAGCATGCACTTCCTGACTTCCACATCAGCATCTACCTTTGGTGACTGCACATGGGATAGATACTCAGGTGGAGTGGTCTTCAGACGGCCCCTCCTTCAGTTTCTGTCCCTCACTTTGTCTCCATATTTGCTCCCTTGAGTATTTTGTTGTTCCTTCTAAGAAGGACCGAATCACCCCCACTTGGTCTTCCTTCTTTATGAGCTTCATGTGGCCTGTGAGTTGCATCTTGGGCATTTCAAGGTTCTGGACTCCAATAATCAGTGAGTGAATACCATGTGTGTTCTTTTGTGATTGGCTTACCTCACTCAGGATGATAATTTCTAGTTCCATCCATTTACCTAGGAACCTCTCGAATTCATTGTTTTTAATAGCTGAGTAATACTCCATTGTGTAAATATACCACATTTTTTGAATCCATTCCTCAGTTGAAGGACATCTGGGTTCTTTCCAGGTCCTGGCTATTATAAATAAGGCTGCTATGAACATAGTTGAGCATATGTCCTTGTTATATGTTCGAGCATCTTCTGGGGCAGGAAGATCAATGGAATAGCATTGAAGACCCAGAAATGAACCCACACTCCTATGGTCACTTGATCTTTGACAAAGGAGCTAAAACTGTCCAGTGGAAAAAGGACAGCATTTTCAACAAATGGTGCTGGTTCAACTGGAGGACAACATGTAGAAGAATGAAAATTGATCCATTCTTATCTCTTTGTACAAAGCTCAAGTCTAAGTGGATAAAGGACCTCCACATAAAACCAGATTCACTGAAACTAATAGAAGAGAAGGTGGGGAAGACCCTCGAATACTTGGGCACAGGGGAAAAGTTCCTGAACAGAACACCAATGGCATATGCTCTAAGATCAAGAATTAACAAATGGGACTTCTTAAAATTGCAAAGTTTCTGTAAGGCAAAGGACACTGTCAATAGGACAAAACGACAACCAACAAATTTGGAAAAGATCTTTACCAATCCTACATCTGATAGAGGGCTAATATCAATATATATAAAGAACTCAAGAAATTAGACTCCAGACAACTAAATTATCCTATTAAAAAATGAGGTATAGAGCTTAACAAAGAATTTTCAATGGAAGAAACTCGAATGGCCGAGAAGCACCTAAAGAAATGTTCAGCATCCTTAGTCATCAGGGAAATGCAAATCAAAACAACCCTGAGATTCCATCTCACACCAGTCAGAATGGCTAAGATTAAAAACTCAGGTGATAGTAGATGCTGGCAAGGGTGTGGAGAAAGAGGAACACTCCTCCATTGTTGGTGGGACTGCAAGATGGTGCAACCACTTTGGAAATCAGTGTGGCGGTTCCTCAGAAAATTCGACATAGCATTACCTGAGGACCCAGCTATACCACTCCTAGGCATATAAAAGATGCTCGCACATATTTTATTTTTAATTATGAGTACCTGTGTGGGTATGTGTATGTGAGTGTAGTGCCTGAAGACACCAGAAGAGGGCAGCAGATCCCTTGGAACTACAAGCAGTTGTGGGCAGCTGAGCATGGAATTGAACTCGGATCCTTTAAAAGTAGTCGATGTACCTAACCCCTAAGCCAGCTCTCTAGCCCCTGTCCTGTTCTTTGTTTTTAAAAGTGAGGAGTTGCTTGTGCTCAGCACATGCGTGGAGGGCAGAGGATAACTTACTGGAGTTGGTTCTCTCCGTTCACCTTGTATGTCTCTGAGAAAAGTCAGGTCATCAAGCAGCAAACACTTTCTACCTCCTGAGCCGTTCTGTAAACCCCATTTTAAAAATGTGCATGTTGGGGGCTGGAGAGATGGCTCAGGGGTTAAGAGCACTGACTGCTCTGCCAGAGGTCCTGAGTTCAATTCCCAGCAACCACACGGTGGCTCACAACCATCTGTAATGGGATCCTGATGTCCTCTCCTGGTGTTCATGAAGACAGCATACTTGTATACATAAAATAATCTTTTTGTGCATATGTAGCTATTACAAATAAACAATGAACATGTAATGAACACGGTTGAACAAGTGTCCTTGTGGTAGGATGGAGTGTCCTTTGGGTATATGCCCTATATATAGCTGGGTCTTAAGGTAGATTCCCAATAGGGAACTGCCATATTGCAGTTTTATTCATAATAGCTGGAAACTCAAAACCTAGGTGTCCCTCAACTGAAGAATGGATAAAGAAAATGTAGTACATAAACTGTTAATAGTGGACTAATATTTCATTGTGACATTATGAAATTTGCAGGCTAATGGATAGAACTAGAAAAGATCACACTGAGTGAGGTAACCCAGACCCAGAAAGGCAAATGTGGTGTGTACTGACTTATAAACAGTATAGTAAAGAATAACCATGCAATAATCGACAGACCCAGAGAAGCTAAGTAACACGGAGGGCTCAAGGGGGACACATGGATCTTTCTAAGAAGGGGAAATAGGATAGGTTCTTTTGGGTGGACTGGGGGCTAGTAGGGACAGGAGCTAGAGGGATCAAGTGGGAGTAGGATGAAAGAAATGGAAGGAGAGAGGTCATTTGGGGGTTGACATAGTGCAGTGGAAACCCTCTGAAATCCATGAGTGACTCTTTTCCCTGACACTGCATGGATGGCCAGGAACCAAAAGCAAGACAGCCCAAGGACCCAGGATAGAGGCAAGCATGACTGGAAAAAAAAAAGTCAGTGAAATGATTTCTAATGAAACTCTGCTATACTCATAGACCAGTGCCTGGTCCCGTTGTCATCAGAGAGGTGTCATCCAGCAAGTGATGGAAACAGACGCAGAGAGCCACAGCCCAACGTTAGGCAGAGCGAACGTAACCCCAAAAAAGAGGCAGAGGGAGGATTGTAGGAGTCAGAGGGGTTGAGGACACCACAGAACACAGCCCACAGAATCAACTAAGTGGGGCTCAGAGGGGCTCAGAGAGACTGAAGAGGCAGACACGGACTGCATATGGTTCTGATCTAGGTCCACCGCATATTATGGTTGTATAGCTTGGTGTTCTTGTGGGACCCCCAACAGCAGGGGTACGGGTGTCTCGGACTCTTGCCTGCACTCAAGACCCTTTTCCTCCTGTTGGGTTGCTATATCCAGCTGTGATATGAGGTGTGTGCCCAGACTTATTGTATGTTGTTAGGCCATGTTCAATGAATACCCTGCTCTTTAATTTTGTAAAAGGGAAGTAGAGGAGGAGTTGATCTGGGAGAGTGGGGAGGTGGGAGAGGGACTGCGAAGAGTGGGGGGATGAGAAACTCATATAAGATGGAATGTATGAGAGAGAAATAAAAATTTAAAAACTATGCACGTGTTTGAGTGTGTGTGTGTGTGTGTGTGTGTGTAGGTCAAAAGACAACTTTGAGTGCAACCCATAATTTTAGTTTTTTGAGAGAAGATCTCTTTAGCCTGTAGTCCTGGAACTCTATTAGACCAGGCTGACATAAACTCAGAGATGCTGCCTCTGACTCCTGAGTGCTGGGATTAAAGGCATGCATCACTACAGCTGTCTTCCAGCCTACAAATTCCTGCTCCAAGTTTTCCATTGAACTTCTCAGTCCATGACAATGTGATTCATACACTTACCCAAGATTCCTGATGGCATCAGGACCAGGCGAGGTGACATGGAGGTCAAGATTACAGATGAAGCACAGGACGTTGAGTTGGACGGGTCAGGATAGAGACAAAGCCATAATTAGAAAGCCAAAAACAAGATCAGGCTCAGGGGCTGGGAACTTGTTGGAAAATGAAATCTATAATGGGTCGTGAGGCGTGATGGGGAATGGAGACCGAGGTTCCGTGAGATTCCCAGGGGTCCCATCAGATTCGGGGGTGGGGGTTGGGGTGGAGTGGGGGTGGGAGGGGTGTACAGGTTTGGTTTCAGACCTGGGGACAAGGGACTGGAGTGCATATTTTACACATCAAAACAGACCTGTCCTCCAGGTTCTCCCAGCATCCCTCAGTCCCTACCTTGCAAACCCTGCCTAGGCTGCCCTAGAGGCGCAGGCGCTCTCGTGCGCTCTCGCTCCCGCTCCCGCTCCCGCTCCCGCTCCCGCTCCCGCTCCCGCTCTCGCTCGTTTATCTGTGTGTCTGTCTCTTCTCCCCCACCTTCCTCCCTCTCTCCTCCCTCCCCCCTCTCTCGCCTACCCCCTACCCCGACCCCTCCCCTCCCCTGCGAGCTCTTTCTCTTTTCCAGTCCCTTCCTTCTCTCTCCTCATGGAGACTCCCTGGCCTCGGTCCCTGGGGCCAGTGAATTCACTCGAGTGCAGAGTCCCAATAACCATACGTTTAGTATAATCTAATCTGATTTGAATTGGCTCATTTCACCAGCAGAGAAATAACCTATCAGGATTTAATGAGGTGAGAATGGTTGGCAAACAGCTTGTCTGCAGAAGGAGAGGAAAGGCTGCCCCTTGTTGTTTCCAGAACAAGGCTAGTCTCAGCTTGATTTTAGGATCCCTAATCTCTACCTTCTGAGGCTGGAATTACAGGTGGGATACCACGCCCATTGGCATTTATTAAGGGCTTTGGGGATCTTCCCAGCCCACGTAACTTGTCTGGTAAAACTAGATCTAGAATAGATCTAAAGTTTGCTTGCTGACCGAATGGCCTTTTCTTCTGTCACATCCTGAAGCTTGTGTTAGCACTAAGTGAAGAAGGCATTTTTAGGGACTGATTCTTTCCAAGTATCCTTCCACTTTTTTTTTCAGTCAAAATTTTGTGATTAGTTAGATATAGTGGTATATGCCTTTAATCTCAGCACTTAGGGGGCGGAGACAGGTGGATCTCTGTGAGCTCAGGGCCAACCCGATCTATATAGTAAGTTCTAGTTCAGCCAGGCTACCTAGTGAGACTCTTGTCTCAAAACAACAACAACAACAACAAAAAACAAAAACAAACAAACAAAAAACAGAACAAAGATTAAAAAAAGAAAATTTTGTAATTAAAGATGAACATACCAGAAGGATTCCAGTCCATTGTCTTTATGATGAGAACAGAAGGTGTTCAGAGATCGTCTGTCAATCATCTCAAAACATCAGTGGAACGTGCCCAGAAACTTGTCTCTCCACCGTGTTTATGATTTAAAATGGACATGTGCAGATGCGTCTTTGGCTGTCATCTTTAATTTGCCTAACATGACCTTGAGCTAAACATACCCAAAACGTGTCTTCTGTAGTCCCTTCTTTAGATAGGACCTTCAACTAAGCATATGCCTTCCCTTAAGCACTTTCCTATTTTACTATGTGTGGACTCCTTCGGAGGAGGGCATTGCTCTGGAAATCACCACTGTCTTTCCTTGCCTGCTGCGGGTAATAATTCTTTCTTTGCTCCTTTGTTTCTCAGCTGAATTTGCCTTAACGTACTCTCACCAAGATGTAAACCAGTTACATATGGGTTAAGAGGAAAAGAACACTGAATTTGTCAGGGAGAGGGGAAGAACGGCATCTGAATTCTGTCAAAGGAGGTACTCTAGATTCTCCTCCGTCCCTAGATTAGAAGTTTGGCTGCGGACACAGGAGTGAAAATGCTGGTTGAAAATCAGGGTATTATTTCTGAGGGACAGGTAACTCGATCAGATGGGGAAGGAAATAGAGACTCTTACCTTTCAGCACTGTAGGCACACGGGCATCAGGAAAGACAGGATGAGCGGAGACCAATGGAACATTTGTCCAACCAAAGTTGAGAAGGAATATGGAATCAATTAAGTCATCTTTTGTGCATAGTCCCTCAGTGTACTTCAAAGATCCCCAAATAGGCCGCGGAACTAGAATGGGTAGCTTTGACAAAGCCTCTGGTTCCTTCATCTCTTTGAAGATGCATTTATTCTGGAAGCGAGAGCTCCAGGGAATCTAAACCCTCCCTGTTCCGGGAGATTAGCAGAATAAGGTCTACATAAAGATTGTCAACTTTCTGTTCTCAGCTGGAGGCCAAGATGGTTACTTCTCAGAAAAGAAGAAAGCACATCTGACCTGCTGCTTACCAGAAAATACACAGTCCAGCCTGGCTATAAAGTGGAGCTCCCAACCAGTTAGCTCATTGTGATCCTACTGACATTAATATCAAACTATAGTCCTGGGAACCAACAAAGGCTCTTTCTTCCTCTCTTGCAAGCATCTTTCCTACCGGATCTGAGAGGGTGGCTGGCTTTGAAACCTATCCCCACCCCCTGACCTTTAGATCTAGGTCAAGTGGCCCCATTCAAGTTGAGTATTCTGAGTCGGCTCCAGCCGAACATGACGGTCAGGTGTTTGCCCCTCTTTTTTTATCTCCCTGAGTTAGCCCTTCCACCCTCCACCCTTCTTTAAACAGAGAGGGATTGTGACTTACTTTTGACTGGAAGAGCAGTGGAAACCAGGAGCCATTGAATCAGCCAGGAAAACAGAGACAAAGAGTAGGATCAGTACAAATGCAAATTACCTCAGTCTCCCCCTCCCCCCACACACACACCCACTACCACCTTGTATTCTTTGTTCCTTCTGGGAATAGTTACACCCCTTTGTTATGTAGGGAGGAGCTTTGCCCGCTTGAATGTCTGTGAACCATGTGGATGTAGTACCCATAGGGGCCAGAAGAGGGCACCAGATCCCCTGGAGCTGGAGTTACAGAATGTTGTGAGCCACTCTGTGGGTACTGGGAATTAGAACTTCAGTCTGGCAAAAGCAGCCAATGCTCTTGTCTGTTGAGCCATCTCTCCAAACGTTCCAGTGGTAGCACTGATTGCCCAGTGTCTCGAACTTTCTGTGATGATTTGAATAAGAATGGTCCTGGGGGCTGAATTCAGGCCCTCAGGTTTGGTGGTAAGTGCCTCAGCCCACTGACTCTTCACACTGGGTCCAGAACTGAGCTTATGAATCTCCTCTCAAAAGAGTCAGAGAAAGGCTGGCTCAGTGTGGGACTTGGAGCTTTTGCCACCTGGATTTGACAATGTAATTGCGTGACACCTTTGAAGTGCTCAAGGCATGCTAGGTACTGAATTTCCATTGGTTCCCTCTCTCTGCTTTCAAAATGATAGCATTATCTTACATTTGCACAGAAAAGCTCTTTCCATTTGTCCAATTTAGCTGAGTACTAGGAACTTTCCTAGGCCATAGGAATAAAGACAAGGGCCCCATGCTTTCTGGCCACTCACAATCTCTGAGACCTTTTCCTCTTCCATGTGTCATTGGGGGGAAAAATTCTCAAAATATCAGCCAAGAACCATTGAGTTAACCCTGGGACTTTCGAAGGGATGATGATTGACTGAATTAAGGGACACTCGAGTAGCTGGGAAAGCATGATTTAATCTCTCTGTCTTAGAGTTTTATTGCTGTGAAGAGACACCATGACCATGGCATCTCTTAAGAAAGAAAACATTTAAGTGGGACTAGCTTATAGTTCAGAGGTTTAGTTCATTTTCGTCACAGTGGGAAGCATGGCAGCATCCAGGCAGAAATGGTGCTAGAGGAACCAAGAGTTCTACATCTTGATCTGCAGGAAGCAGGAGACTGGGTGCCACCCTGGGTATAGCATGAACATAGGAGACCTCAAAGCCCGCCCCCACAGTGACACACTTCCTCTGACAAGGCCACACCTCCTAATAGTACCACTCCCTATGAGCTAGGCATTCACACACATGAGTCTGTGGAAGCCAAGCCTATTCAAACCTCCAGAATCTCGTCATTGAATCAGTGGTTCTTGGTGTGTCAGCAGCACCAAGCCCTTCTTCTTCTGCTGAAACAGAAGCTTAAATGATTTAGCATTTGCTTTGAATGATTGTGTGGCCCGGGAGTGTTTGAAGGTCTGTGTGCTGTTCAGCAGGCTGGCAGAGGAAGGGGAAAACCCTGCTTCCTTGCATTTGTAATGTCCTATATTTTCTAACCTTGGATATCAAAACTCCAGGTTCCTCTCCTTTGGAATTCCTAGGCTGACATCAGTGGCTCCATGGGCCCATGGACCTTTACCTTGTACTGTGTGATGGTTTGTATGTGCTTGGGCTAGGGAGTGGCACTATTAGGAGGTGTGGCCTTGTTGGAGTAGATGTGTCACTGTGGGTGTGGGCTTAATACCCTAGTCCTAGCTGCCTGGAAGTGACTTTTCTGGCTGACTTTGGAACAAGAGGTGGAACTCTCAGCTCCTCCAGCCCCACATCGGCCTGGTGGCTGCCATGATCCTGCCTTGATGATAATGGACTGAAACTCTGAACCTGTAAGCCAGCCCCAATTAACTGTTGTCCTTTATAAGACTTGCCATTGTCATAGTGTCTGTTCACAGCAGTAAAACCCTAAGTAAGACAGACTGAGAATTATATCACTGGACTGAGCCACACTACCAACCTCCCAGATTCTCTAGCTTGGGATGGTATGTTATGGGCCTTCCCAGCCTCCACAGTAAATCCCTTCATCCTGTCTATTATTCTATTCTATTCTATTCTATTCTATTCTATTCTATTCTATTCTATTCTATTCTATTCTACTCTATTCTATCCTTCTGTTCTGTTCTATTCTATTTATTCTATATTTTATCATAGCCAGTCCTAGTCCATCCTGTTCATCTTCTATTTCTATTATCTTTCTATTATAACCTATATTTATCCTATTCTGTTATATTTCTTTATTTACCTTGAGTTTGATGCCTGGAACCCATGTAACAGTGGATTCTCACTTTGTAGACAAGGATAGGCTCAAACTCAGAGAGACTCACCTGCCTCTACCTCCTATGTGCTGGGATTAAAGTGCTACCCGGTACTAACTCACCTTTGTTATATTTGCATCATACTTTATTCCTGTTTTTATTCGAGTCTACTTCCATTTCATTATGTTTTATTTATTCTCTCTATTTCTTGTTCTCCAGAGAATTCTGGCTAAAACAGTATTTACACAACATTCCAACTCCTTCTGTTTGAGATTTCATTTTAATTTACTTCAGTCAAATTAACACATCATAACAGACTGGATCCAGTAACAGAGGTGTGAATCCAGCTATTTTCTATTAAACTAGTCTATTTTTTTTTTGAAACAGGGTCTCATGTAGCACAGGCTAGCCTTGTACACACTGTGTAGCTGAGGTTGACCTTGAACTTTCAATTCTCCTGCCTCCACCTGATCTTACAGGCATATTTCACAATGTCTGGCATCTGCTTGCTTTTAAAAATAGTTATTTTCTGATCCTCAAATCAAGATTTTATAGCAGATTGAAGCTCCATCCTTCCCCAGAATTCCCAGAAGTTTCTCCAGACCCAACAGAGTTGAGAGGAGCCGTCTGAGAGAGAGCACAAACATAGGGTGTCGAGAGTTCTTACTTTTCTCTTCCGTTGCAACTGGAGACAAAAGTATCATTCATGTGGATTCCATTGGACCGGGAGGCGGGTGCAGGGAGAGAAGGAGACACGAGACTCAAATCATTACAGTGATCAAGACCACCGCAGCTGTCGTGTCTTTGGAGGGTAGCTGACACACAGTTTCTATCAGAGTTCCTCAGGGTCTTTCATCTGCTCACCCATCTGTCTATCTGTCCATCTTTCCATGTCTATCACCCATCTGCCTATCTATCTATCTATCTATCTATCTATCACCTACCAATCAGTTCTCCACCCACTCCTCTACCCACCCTTACTGTATACCTATCCATCATGCATTGACCCATTCTTCCATCCACCTATTTACCTATCTGCCTACGCATCTATAACTCCATCTACTCATACACCCAAAAATCTACCCAGTGTCCATCTCCATCCACCCATCCATCCATCTATCGGTCTGCCTACTGCCCATCTGTCACTACTTGTCTATCACATCCCTCCATCAACCAACCCAGCCAGCCAACATTCACTTGGTTCAACCTGGCCTATGCTTAGGGCTTAGGAGACACATAGGAACTGGACTCGATCTATTCTAAAGACATCTGCTCAGCTGACTGGGAAAAGAGTCCCAGGTAGAGGGGTAAACAAAGCATTCCACGTGGTGCTCTTCTGGGACTCGCAGCCTGTGGCTGCCTGGGTCATCACAGGCCCTTCAGCTTTAGCATGTCTACAAGAGAAGCTGTGACGGTCAGCCTCCCACCCATCAGAGATGATCGACGATACAGAGGAAGCTATGAGTTCATATTGATATAAACATTCAAATGGATCAATCTCTTCTTTTTTTTTTTTTTTTTGTTTTTTTTCGAGACAAGGTTTCTCTGTGTAGCCCTGGCTGTCCTGGAACTCACTCTGTAGACCAGGCTGGCCTCGAACTCTCGAACTCAGAAATCCACCTGCCTCTGCCTCCCAAGTGCTGGGATTAAAGGCGTGCGCCACCACCGCCCGGCCAATCTCTTCTTTTTAATTTTGAGTGTTCCTTTTATTTTTAATCATGTGTCTGATGGTACTGGGATATGAGCATGTGAGTGAAGGTGCTTGTTGAAGTCAGAACCATCAGATTGCCCAGGGCCTGGAGATATAGACCATGTGAGCTTCCTGATCTGAGTGCTAGGAGCCAAACCCAGTCCCTCTGCAAACTCAGTATGTGTTCTTAATGACTGAGCCATCTCCCAGGCCCCAGTTCATCTCTAACTTAGGAATTTCAATTAATATGTATAGAAGGGATAAAGAGAATAGAAAATCTCTCTTTTTTTGGTTTGGTTTTTCGAGACAGGGTTTCTCTGTGTAGCCCTGGCTGTCCTGGAACTCACTCTGTAGACCAGGCTAGCCTCAAACTCTAATAATCTCTATTTGATAAATACTACAGTAATCCCTTCTTAAGGACGATCTATAGATGGCTGCTAAACTTCATTGGCCAAAGTGAAAAGAAAAAAAAGTACATGTGTATAGTCTCAGTACCTCCCCCATATACTTATCAGTTACAAGAAGAGAAATAGTAACAGGTCGTGGAGAGACCAGGTAGATACAACCTTAGCCAAGAGATCAAAGACAGCATCTGTCTTAGGGTCATATTGCTGCAACAAAACACCATGACCAAAAAGTTAGTGAGGGAGGAAATAGTTTATTTGGCTTACACCTCCATATCGAAGTCAGGACAAGAAGTCAAACAGGATAGGACCCTGAAAGCAGTTGCTGATGAGGAAGCCATGGAGGAGTCCTACTTACTAGCTTGTTTCCCATGGCTTGCTCAGCCTGCTTTCTTATAGAAACTAGGACTTTCTTATAGAAACAGCCCAGGGGTGGCACCACCCACCATGATAACAAATTGGGAAAATGCCTTACACCTGGATCTCAAGGAGGCATTTCCTTGACAGAAGCTCCTTCCTTTCCAATGATTCTAGCTTGTGTCACGTTGACACACAAACCAGCCAGAATAGCATCATAGGTAAGAGACAAACCATTATCAATAACTTGGCTATAATTCATGAGGGCACAGTGTGACGTCAGTATATTCTTGCCCCTAATGCATAACTTCAATCTAATCATGGGCAAAGTCAGAGAAATTCAACCTAGGAGATGTTCTGAGACTAACTGACCAGACTCATTTAAATGTTTGAAGTTCATGAGAGACAGGAAAAGACTGATGATTCAGAGGGAGAAGAAAAAAAAAGGAAGCAGAGGAAGAGGAGGAGAGGAAGGAGAAGAAGGAGGAGAAGAAGAATAGAAAAGAGAAGAGAGAAGGAAGGGGAGGAAGAGGAGGAGAAGAAGGAGGAGGAGGAGATGCCTTAGTGGGTAAAGCTACTGTCCCCAGCAAAGCCTGATGATTTGAGTTCAGATTCCTGAGATTCACATGGTGGAAGGAGAGACTCAACTCCTAGCCAGTTGTCTTCTGATTGGCACACACACACACACACAGACACACACACACACACAGAGACACACACACAGACACACACAGACACACACACACACCTTTTAAAATAGAAGGAGAAGAGGAAAGAAGGAAGGAGGAGGAGGAAGATGAGGAGGGAACCATATCTTTCATATGACCCCAACACCTGGATACCCTGGTTCCCACACTCTCCATTCTTACTGTCTTAGCTCGCCCTCCATGCCCTCATTCTGTCTGCCGTCTTTCTGCCGCACTGACTGTTCTCAGAGCCTTGAAGGGACTCCGTGTCTTCTAGCCCAACACCTTTTCGCACATAGAGTTCGGTCTGCATGAAGCAGCCTCAAACCCTTTAGGTGCCTAGCTTCTGCTTCTTGTTGAGGTCTTCTCTCAAAAGTCACTTTCCCAGAACAGTGTTACCCAAAGCCCTGCTGTGGTATGATTGTCTGTTTAGCATAAAAATGACATCAAGATAGAGCTATTCCCACCTTTCCCTGACTATTCCCAACATTGTGTACAAATTAAAACTTGAAATCATTGCCGACCTAGTAGGAGGAAGACAGTTTCATGACAAGTCTCAAGTCCTTCTGGTGTAGTCTTTGGCATCTTTACACTGTAAAGGATGGGTATTGACCTCACTGGCACACAGACAGTAGGGCTAGTGAGTCCCAGCACTACACAAATTCGAGCTCTTTCAAGAACACAAAGCAGTCCAGAGGGTTCTATGACTACTGAGGACTAGATGAAGACAAGACCCTCATCAACACATGTGGTGTCTTTCTCTAATGTGGCAAAAAAGTCACTGCTGAGAACCAATTCATCCATCTCTATGGAAGAGCCACCTGTAAGGGACTAAGAAGCCACCAGTGTCTCTAAGAATAGGCTCACTAACACAAGATTCACTAAGCTACCAGTACCTCTGAGGGAAAATCCTCCAACCTGTGACTAATGTAGACACACTAGTACCTCCAAGAGAATGGCCACCAACTAGAAACTCACAAAGCCACCAGTATGTCTAAGAGCAGAACCAACAATCCAGGACTCATGCAACCATCTCTATAAGGGAGAAGAGAGTGGGCTGTCTACACCCAAAGCAAGGAAGAATATGGCAGACTTCAGAATTGCTTGTCGAATCCAGCCTCAGTGACTGCCCCACCCTAAGATACCGTGGGGTGGAAGCCTTACCTTCACGAGGAATGCAGGCCTCTGCCAGGCCCAGGAAAAGGAGGACCACCAGGGACCTCTTCAGAAATGGCTCTAGTCTGCACATGGTAGGGCCTGGATTGGGTATCTGGTGTTCTTCTTCCAGGATCAACGGGACTCTGGTCACTCATGGGTCCCCTGGACTCTCAAGACAAAATTCACTGCCCACACATGCCCTCTAGCTACCTGGAGGCAGCCAGCTGGTGAGACCCACGCCCACATCACCAGCTGCTGGCCCAGCAACTGCCCCTTTCCACTGGCACTTTCTATGTTTTTTAAAGCATTACTCTATGGTAATTATACATTGTACCCACTTGCTTGTGTTCCAGTGTCTCAAATACAACAGCTTGTCTGGTGACATCCAATGAGTTTTATGTTTTAATTTGTGTTTTGTTTTGTTTTTAGCTTTTCTTTTTTTTTCTTTTTTTGTTTTGTTTTGTTTTTTGTTTGTTTGTTTGTTTTTTCGAGACAGGGTTTCTCTGTGTAGCCCTGGCTGTCCTAGAACTCACTCTGTAGACCAGGTTGGCCTCGAACTCAGAAATCCGCCTGCCTCTGCCTCCCAAGTGCTGGGATTAAAGGCGTGCGCCACCACTGCTCAACATTTTTAGCTTTTAAAATCTCTTTTTTCTGAGTATATGTGTGTCTGTATGTCTGTCTCTTTGTGTGTCTGTGTGTGTGTCTCTCTCTTTGTGTGCCTCTGTATCTCTCTGTGTCTTTGTTTCTTTCTCTGTGTGTATGTGTGTCTGTGTGTCTTTATGTATGTGTGTCTGTCTTTCTGTGTGTCTGTGTGTGTGTGTCTCTGTGTCTCTCTGTTTGTGTGCCTCTTTATCTCTCTATGTCTCTATCTCTCTGTCTTTCTCTGTCTCTTTCTCTCTGTGTGTATATTTCTGGGTGCATGTCTCTCTGTGTGTGTGTTTCTCTCTGCATGTATGTCTCTCTGTGTCTCTCTCTGTGTCTCTATTGTGTATCTCTGTGTTTATATATCTCTGTGTCTCTGTCTCTCTGTTTCTTTCTTTCTATGTGTGTATCTGTGTCTCTCTGTGTGTATGTCTCTTTGTGGGTGTCTCTCTGTGTCTCTGTGCATGTGTCTCTGTCTCTCTGTGTCTCTATGTCTCTGTGCATGTGCTTCTGTCTGTCTCTCTGTGTGTGTATCTCTGTGTGCATCTCTGTCTCTTTCTCTCTCTGTGAATGTCTCTGTCTCTTTGTCTCTCTGTTTCTCTGTGTGTGTGTCTCTGTGAGTGTGCATGTATGTACGAGAAAGAGCATGTTCCTGTCCAGGAGCTGGAGTTCCAGGCATTTATAAGCCACCTATCATGGGTTCTGGGAATTGAATTTCAGTCCTCTGCAACAGCAACAAGTGCTCTTAACTATTGAGCCCTTTCTCCAGCCCTTATTGATGTTGTTTAGTTTTTTTCTTATATTTTTATTTTATATGTATGGGTGTCTTGGCTACACGTATGTTTGTTCAACATGCAAATTCAGCACCCTCAGAAGCCAGAAGAGGGTGTCAGACTCCCTGGCATCAGAGTTTGGATGATTGTGAACCACCATATGGGTGCCAGAAATCAAACCCAGGTCCTCTGGAAGAGCAGCCAGTGGTCTTAACCACTGAGCCAACTCTCCAGCCCCTGTTGGGTTGGTAGTTGTTTTTTTGAGATAGAATCTGATTTTGTATTCTGGAATTATAGTCACATGCTACCATACCAAGATCTTTTTTTTCCTCTTCTTTTCTTTCTCCCTTCCTTCCATCCTTCCTTCCTTCCTTCCTTCCTCCCTCCCTCCCTCCCTCCCTCCCTCCCT